AAATTATGCCCCGATACACCTTATTTGACCGAGCTATAGTTATAAAGCATCATAAAAGGAATTTATTTCTCAAGTTTGAGAAATCTGTAGGCTCTTTTCATTTACTAGATCTTGACCTTAAGGAGGAATGCTACACCAAAGTTTTATTTAATGGATCTCTAAGACATCTCATTTGAAATGGGTTTCAGCATGGAAAGATTGATGTTAGGTCTTAATTATTTTCAGGGGTGTGCAATTAAAATAATCAAGTACTAGCCCACGGGCTAGTGGCAGCAATAAAGTTACTTACCCCAAGTAAAAAGTTACTAGCCCAAATGTAGGGGGAAAAAGTAACAACTAATATTAAAAAAAAATAGTTTATTGTTGAAAAAGTCAGGGTTTTGAGGTCATTCTTTTTAAATTCAATGTTTAATTTTCACTAGTAAAATTGAATCATGTATAAATTAATAATTATGATAGAAAATAAAAATGAATTTAAATAAATTATTTTTCCTTTTTCTTTGCATTGCACTAGCTCATCTAAAATGAAGTATAATCTTTTTTTTTTCATCTTAAATTATTAAATACACTGGAATTATATATTATGTAAAGCACATAATACTTATTTTTCAGTTGAATGAGTGATTGTAAATAATTAAATGAAATATTTGCCTTTATTTACCATAAACACATGAATGGAAGAAATTTGGATTAGAAAAAAAACGATCGTTTTTTGAAGTAAATAAGTCAGGAAGTGCTGCAAAATGGATAAGGTTATGGAGATTCACAAACAATAGGAGCATGCTGCCTGTTAATTTTTCATTGGTTGGGAATTTAATACCAAAAAATGAGTGAAAATACTGGTAGTGATTTTCATAAGTATTTTTAATTTTTGGTAGCCCATGGGGCTACTTGCATGCAGAAAACTTCTAGTCCGACCCCCAAAAATGGTAGCCCTAGGCGTCAGGCAATGTTAATTGCACCCCCCTGATTTTGTATGTATTTTTTGTATTTTTTTTCAAAGAAAAGTAGAAATCCTTTTATTTGCAAATAAGATGCTTTAGAGTTTAAAATTTGCTGTCAATAAATGCACAATATAAGTATCTAATGAAACATGTCAAGAAGTCTCAGGTAGGCAATTTAATTTTTTTAATTAAAAATTATTTATGAAAATAAAACACATTGATACTATTTTTTGAAACCTATGGTTAAAATCTTTAAGAAACAAGTCACAAAGGGGGGATATATGATACTCAATCAAACATTTATCATTTTTTAAAATGTAAAAAATCAAGTTCAACATTTTTTGATTTTATTCTGTTGTTTTCTTCAAAAATGCAGATACTATATATATGATATTATATACCAATGGAAAGCTCTCATTCTGATCTTTGCAATTGCAACAAAATACATTTAGATTAGATGTAACTATAAAGATTTACATCTATATAACATCATATAATTGGAAATGGGTACGTGATCTGGCCAAGCCGTCAAGGTTGAAATCGCATATCAAGTATTTTACAAAAAATACAGGTCAAGTTCGAATTTGGTCATGGTTCGATGATTTTTGACAGAGTTATCCCTTTTGAACTTAGAAAAAAATAAGAAATTTTAAGTTTCTGCTCTCTAACTTTTGTAGTGATGTATATATATAAGGTTGAAATTGCATGTGTATTTATTTTACCAGAAAATAGAGGTCAAATTTGAATTTGGTTGTGGTATAATGGTTTTTGACAGTTATCCCTCTTGAATGTAGAAAAAAATAAGAAATTTTCAGTTTCTGCTCTCTTACTTTTGTAGGTATGTATGTAAGCTGGTAACAACGTAGTCTTTGTTTGTAAGGCTCATTATTTGAGTTGTATTTAAGAGGAAGTAGGATTTAATTCTACAGGTAATGTAGATTAAATTTCAATGGAAATTAATAAGAAAATACCATTTTAATTTTCACAGAGAGTATTGCAGTAAATATTGCAAAACAGTTACGAATATTGCAGTTTATTGCAATATGCAATATGAAATCTGTAGGCAAAACCCAGCCCAATAACTGAAGATCATTTCAGCAAGTTCAAAGTTGTCACTATTACTATTTATAATTCCTTCACTTGCATTACAAATAATAACAGATAAAACAGATAAATCAGATATGTTTTTGTCCCCTGCTAGGCATATTAATTTTGGTCTGTCTGTCTGTCTGTCTGTCTAGCTGTATTTCTGTCTGTCTGTAACACTTTTTTCTGAACGATATCTCAAAGGCCACTGAGCTTTTGCAATGAAATTATACATAGCATGGCCTTAAGAAGAACCTTATTGATTTTGAGATCAAAAGGTCAAAGGTCAAGGTCATAAATTTATAATTTCTGTCTGTTTTAACACTTTCGTTTCCACGCAAAATCTCGAGAATCCTTTGAGCTTTTGCAATGAAATTTTACATAACAACTCCCTGTGGCCTAAGGAAGATTCCTATTGATTTTAAGGTCAAAAGGTCAAAGGTCAAGGTTGTTACTTCATACATTCTGTCTGTATGTAACACTTTCGTTTCTGGGCAATATCTTAAAAAGCTTTTGAGCTTATGGGATGAAATTTTATACCATAACTCCCTATTGCCTCCTCACCCCTCTCAAAGTGTCCTGCCCGTTTTTTTCTATTGTACAGTGCAGGAAACTAATTTTGTTACAGAATCGATGCTGATTTGAATGCTTCCTTTGCTTGCTGATTTGAATGCTTCCTTTGCTTGCTGATTTAATGCTAGTAATCCTTATCCTGATGCTGTTTTATAATTAGGTCAATGCTACCGGAAGTAACATCATGCTACCGGAAGTAGATAATGAATTTCAGCATTGCCGTTTAAAGCAATAAAAGTGCCTTTTACAATTATTTGATCATAATATCTCACTATGTATCAGTAATGTGAATACTTTAACCAATATTCTTTCTTTCTTTTTTAATTTTTTACTGAATTAAAACTCATTGATTTTCTGTTGCTAGTAGGATAATGCTGATTTTATGTAGGTCAGTGCTGGTTTTATCCTTTGCTTGCTAATGCTGATCCTGGTAATGCTGTTTTTTAAATGCTGATGCTGATGCTAGCTCGATCCTGATGCTACTAATGCTTATGCTGATGCTGGTTTATGTAACAAAATTAGTTCCCTGCACTGTATATATAATGTCTTGTGGCACTATTTTTAGCACAGCAGCATGTGGAGAGTTATACATATAATACAGTTTGTCTGCAGACTTTATGTTCTAATTACATCTATTAGAACTATTTAGTAAATACTAAATTAGACACCATGTATAAAATTTTGACAATGTCATCGGTGAATATACACATGTATAATTATGTGACATAATGTTTGCATTTAAGGTCAAGATCTAGTAAATGAAAGATGCCTACAGATTTCTCAAATTTGAGCAATAAATTCCTTTAATGATGTTTTATAACTTAAGCTTTGTCAAATAGGGTGTTTCGGGACATAATTTGTAGGTAAACAAGATGAAAAATCATATTTTAAACGGTCATTTTCAATAAGAAATTAAGAAAACCAGTCATGAATATGGGAGTTTTTTGATTATCAGACAAAGGAAATGTATCCATATTGCCTACAGTCTCTCAGAAAATGGTAATTTGTATGTTCTTGGCCTCTTCTTTGAAATAATATAAAATTTAATATAGGTATCGGGATTACTTTTCATATGATTTCAAATTGAATTCCATGAAATACTTTATTTTCCTCATAATTCTGTTAGAGCTGTAAAGTACGGGAAAAAGAAAGATGAAATGGATTATGACGTCATAATGGATCTAGCACCAAAATGTTAGTCTAAAGTCATTTACTAGATCTTGACCTTAATTTGGTTTATAAGCAAGCGCCTCATAGGTCTAGGGGTATGAATCTTGCTTAGCGGGTGAGAGGTCCTTGGTTCAAATCCCGGACAATCCCGTAATTTTTTTAGGTCACCTGAGTCATCAGGTGACCTATTACTATCCATTTTTGTCCATCGGCATTCAAAGTTTGTTGTTTTTAATGAAAGAATGAAATGTTATATTTATAGAAACAAAATAAAAATGAATGTTTGGTTTAAATGAGCAGACTGCCAATTAAAGCGTGCTCAAAGTCAGATTCTTGTCTGGAAAGCAGTATAAAAAATTAACATAAAAATTGTTTATATATTTAGCTTAAGTTCTTTACACAGTATGTTTACATTGTTGTGATCTGGTAGACAGTAGATATGTTGTTGTCACTGGTGGAGTCATGTTTGAAAAGAGACTGGATAAAGTTGTTTTATACATTATCAAAGTGAATAAAGAATCACAGAGAGCCAGGTGACTTACTGTAATAAGTGACAAGTGGCAAATTGACATGTTGTATACCTGAGTCTGTGTGTACTGAATTGTAGCACTAGGCTAGTGACAAAAACATATCTGTAAATATTGAATACCTTACACAATAGGCAAGTGTCCATGGTATTTGTATATTTTACATTCATTATCATCCCTGAAAACCAAGTATGATCCCAAGATGACATGTCTAGCATGTTACAATTAGCAAGGGTATTTTTACCAGATTTTTGAAATTCTTGGGCAACATTGCTTCCTCTATCAGTTAATTTTGTTTTATACTTCTATGGACCTTTTACAGTGTTGTGTTATACTCAGGTGACAGTTAAGGCCCTTGGGCCTCTTGTTTTTTTTTTTGTTTTTGTTTTTAAAATGTTTTTTTCAATTTACTAAATGAAAGTATATAACATATGAAATAAAAAAGTTGTGGAGTCTGGTGTGTACAAACTATTTTATATCAAAAGATTCTTCTGTACACATATTAAAGAAATAGCAATCAAATCTATATATCCATATTGGCATGTTTTATTTGCTTCAGGATACATGTAATAATTGTGCAAATCCAGGGGACCTAAACCCCCCCCCCCCAAATCTGCGCAAGCTCTTCTTTTTTCCTTAAGCAGGGGGACACAAATTCTCTGAATTAAATTGTTTTATATATTTTTTTTTTCATTTACAGGTGGCCCTAGCACTCCACTTCAGTCGATGACCATAATGATCTGTCTTGGATATTTTTTGTTTGATCTTTCATGGTGTCTTTTTTTTCAAACAGAAGGTAAGACAGAGTGCAATTATATGCATCTGCATTCAGATTAAACCTATTAGGGATGAAAGTTAAGACCTTTATGTAATTTATTTTTCTTAGTTTTAATTGACAATATGTTTAAGGTCACCTGGGTGAGGTAACCTATTGCTATCCGTTTTTCTCAATCGTTGTGTGACAGCTTCAATTGTATCAAACTAAAAACACTTGTCACAATGAACATTTTCAGCTTCTTTGAAGAGGTTGAACCAATTTTAGTTTTAATGGAAAAGGGGAACACATATTGTGAATTTCATTTAGTCTGAAAAGGGGAACAGATATGAAATATCCTGATTTTTTATTAATTCACTTTGGGCTGAGGGCCTGGAAAAAACAATAGATTCTTATTTTTATAAATTTTCAAAAGACTTCTCTACTTTAAGACATCAAGCTGTCAAACTGTTGAAAATGTGAAAAAGAATTATGCTTATTTTGATAATATTAACAGTGAAGCATTTTTTTAACCTAATGTGTGGTCACCCACATGGCATAATCATAGAGCTTTTGCTCTAGAGTTGCAATGTAAGGAGTTGATCTTTAGATCACAGATTCGAATCCCACTGCAGGATATGGAGACTGGTCCTTTGAATGAGTTCATGTAAACCAAGGTCCTGTGTCACAGTAAGTGCTGGCATAAAACAGATCACTGCCCAAAGGCATAAGTGCCAAGACAAGGTCTAAATTTGCAGCCCCCCACCAGCCAGTTGTGGTATCTAAGTATGAGTGAATTGAAGAATTCAGGAAGTGACATTAAACAAACAAGGAAACCAAATATGTGATATCCCATAATATCAGTGCTGATGCCCAATTTGGACTAAGTTTGTCATAGGACAAACTTACAATGCACAACAACAAATTTGGTTACCATTTCTCCCACAAGTTCTTGTGGTGCAACCAATCTCACCCAGTAAAAATAATTCTCATCACAAATGTGAGTTACCTCCCCTGATTTAAAAAAAGACAGAACAATAGAATAGAATGGAATTTACGGATATTTTGATAATATAACCCGTCTAAACAGTTCTTTGGATCCTTTTTTAAAAAAGTCAAACCTTGTTAACTTGATTCGACAAGAAAAATGTTTTGAGGTATTCATGGATTGAGATATCAAGACAAATAAAATAAGTGCTTGGGACTATCAAAATTACTTTGACATTTCAATTTCAGGATATCAGTGCTCAAGATGCTAAGGTTCAAACATAATGATGTATTTCATTATTTCATGCATATTTAGGTCACTGAGTCACTCAGGTGACCTACATGTATTGCTATCCATTTTTGTCTGTCATTCGTCATGTGTTAACATTTGAACATTTTCAGCTTTTTCTCTGAAACTGCTTAACCAATTTCAACCAGTTTTGGTATATACATGTAGTATTTATGGTTGAAAGGGAACAAAAATTATGAATTTCATGGTCCCTGCCCCCTTGAGACCTGGAAGTGGGGCTACAACCACCAGAATTAATGCAGTCTTTAAAAATCTTCTTTACTTCGGGACATCAAGCAGTCAAACCGTTGACATAATTGTAATAAGCATTGAGCCCTCTACCAAAATTGTGAAATTCTTGACCCCAGGGTCAGGGGTCTGGTGCTAGGGTGGGGCTATGTAGATCATACAGTGAAAGTGCATTATTTTAAAAACAAAGTATGTAGTTATGATGAGGAAGAGTGCCTCTTCCAAAATTGTGAATTTCATGGCCCCTGGGTCAGGGGTTCTGGTGCTAGGGTGTGGCTTTTTTGATTATATAGTGGAAATACATTAATTCTTTGAAAATCTTCTTCTCTGCCCCTGGGTATTAAATAAACTAAGTACATAGTTATAATGAGCTAGAGTGTTTCTTCCAAAATTGTGAATTTCATGGCCCAAAGGTCAGGGGTTCTGGTGTTAGGGTGGGCTTCTATTGATTATATAGTGAAAATGCATTATTATAAATTTTCTTTGAAAATCTTCTCTGCTCATAAATATTAAATTAACTATTAAGTACATAGTTATGATGAGCAAGAGTGCCTCTTCAGAAATAGTGAATTTCAAGGCCCCTGGATCAGGGGTTCTGGTTTTAGGGCAGGACTGTATTGATTAAATAGTGAAAATGCATTAATTCTTTGAAAATCTTCATCTCTGCTCCCGGGTATTATTTAAACAAAGGAAGTCAAGTGCATGGTTAGGATAAGCAGGAATGCCTCTTCCAAAATTGTGAAATTATGGCCCCAGCATCAGGGGTTCTGGTGCATATTTTTTTTCAAAATATTTTTTCTACTCCTGGTAAAAAAGCAAAGAATCAATCATATAGTTTTGATGAGTAAGGGTGGTGCTTTTACAATTTTTTAAAAAAAACTTTTGGTCCCAGGGTTTCTGGTGTTTCTTTGAGGGAACTATTGCATAGTTATGATAATGAGGGTACCTCTTCCAAATTTGTAAATTTCATGACCCTTGGTCATGGGTTCTAGTGTCAGGGTAGGGTTGTTTAAATCTTTTGTGAAAATGCATTATTTTTTTGAAAATTTTCTCTGCTCCTGGGCATATTGGAGGCAAACAGAGTAAAAGTTTTGATAAGTAAGAATTTTGAACGTCTTGACCATTTAGTCAAGTGTTCTGGCCCGGGGCAGGGCTCTATTAATTTGTATTCTACTAAGCGAAGTCATTCCCCTTTGCCATTCACCTTTGAAAATTAATTATCAAGTAATAAATCTGGGGGACAGATACTAGACCAGTTATTAGGTCACCTGAGTCACCCAGAAGACCTATTGCTATCTGTTTTCATCTGTAGTTGTGCAGGTGTGCCAATGTGCGTCGTGTGTAAACTTTTCACATTTTGAACTTCTTCTCAAGAACCACCAGGCGAATTCCAACCAAACTTGCTACAAAGTATCCTTAGGTAACGGTGATTCAAGTTTGTTCAAATGAAGGACCAAGCCTTTTTCCAAGGGGAGATAATTAAGAATTAGTGAAGAATTAATGGCGTCTTTTAAAAATCTTCTTCTCAAGAACGACTGCGCCAAGAAAGATGAAACTTATATGAAAAAATCCTCAGATAGTGTAGATTCAGATTTGTTCAAATCATGAATTCGGGGGTAGGGTGGGGTCACTATGGACGATCTAAGTTTTACATAGGAATACATAGGAAAAATCTTTAAAAATCTTCTTCTCCAGAACCAATGGGCCAAGAAAGATGAAACTTATGTGAAAACATCTTCAGGTAGTGTAGATTCAAGTTAATTTTTTAAAATCATGATCCCCTGGGGAAGGGTAGGGCCAGAATGGACAATGAAAGTTTTACATTGGAAAACGTAGGAAAATCTTGAAAGAATTCTTTTCTCAAAAACAGCAAAATCATGATATTTTACATTTACATTGAAGCATTCTCAGATAGTATAGATTCAAGTTTGTTCAAATCATGACTCTGTGGATAGAGTGGGGCCACAATGAATGATCAAAGATTAACACATGAATACATATGAAAAATTTTGAACAATAGTCTTCTCAAGAATAACAAAACCATGATTTTTCTTATTTATATGCAAGCATCTTTGGGTAATGATAATTCAAATGTTTATATCTTGACCATCTGGGGTAGGGAGGGGGCACAACAGATGATCAAAGATTTTTAGTTAGAAATTTATAGGAAAGATCATTTAAAAATCTTCTCCAAAACAACAAAACCATGATAAGTCATATAAATATAATTTAATTATGATCGTAACACGTCATTTGATTGGATAAAAAGTTATTTTATATTGTATAACCTGTTGTTTTTTTTATAAGCTTTCAATTTATATTTCATGGATCCTCAATAAATTGTTGTTTTATATTCAGGTGACCGTTAAGGCCCCTTGGGCCTCTTGTTTTGTTGATCCTAGTCATACTTTGGATAACAAAGCTTCATTTATCAGTATATAGATCCTCTGAATTGTTGGACTCAGGTGACCGTTTGGCCGTTGGGCCTCTTGTTTAAAAAACAATGCCAACAAATTTCCAATTGATTTTTGAAAAAGAAAATTGACAAAAATAAAAAACAAACAAACAAATGGGGCAAGACACTTTGAGAGGGGCGAGGAGGGCAATAGGGAGTTATGAAATAAAATTTCATTGCAAAAGTTCAAAAGCTTCTTGAGATATTGTCCGGAAACGAAAGTGTTATACACAGACAGAATGTATGAATTTACGACCTTGACCTTTGACCTTTTGACCTCAAAATCAATAGGGTCTTCTTTAGACCACAGGAAGTTGTTATGTAAAACTTCATTGCGAAAACTCAAAGGCTTCTCGAGATATAGCGCGGAAACGAAAGTGTTACAGACAGATAGACAAAAATACAGACGGACGGACAGACAGACCGAAATTAATATCCAACACCTCACTTTCAGTGAAAGCGGGGGACAAAAATCTTGCATTGTAGAGCTTGTGTTCTATGTTTTCTTGAAGTGTAAAGTATCTTAACTCTGACGAAATTAAATGGGAATAAAGGATATTCTGTTAAAAATTCCTACTTTGGCACCCTGTGGCCTCTCTGTATTCTTTGAATCAAAATGGGTACTCTTATGTTCTTAATAATTTACTAAGTGTCAAAAGCTTTCCATATATGGAACCATTAGAAAATATTTCTAGATTTTAATTTTTATTCCAATTAAAATTTTTTTAGAAAAGAAAGCGCGTCGGTATTTTATTTACAATGATATCTCCATACCTTAACTGTAAGGATTGTGTTTATGTACTTCATTTTAAGAAAAAACTACAGTAGATACCACGCCATCATTATACGATGATATAGCCCTGCGATCATATCAATGATAAAACAGCGTTGATGTATCGTGGAAAGGATTAAAACACCGTCACGCTGACGAGGAAAAATACGAAATCAACATTAACCTTAGTGTATCTTGTAAATTTTTATCTTTACTCCAGGACCAAGGAAGCATGCAGGAATTGTTTTGTATAATTATACATGTAATGTGACCGAACCATTGCATGTGGC